CCTCGGCCTCCCGCAGGGTGGACAGCAGCCACTCTCTGGCTGTTGCTGAGAGTGTGAGCATCCCCAGGTGCTCCAGGCTGTTTCTCAGCCCTGGCTCTCCTGCCCCAGCCACTGGCTTCCCTTCCCTCGTCATTCCTACAGGCAGCCGCCCAGGAGCTGAAAGCTGAGTACCGTGTGAGTGTCCCACAGTGCAAGCCCCTGTCCCCTGGAGAGATTCTGGGCTGCACATCCCCCCGACTGCCCGAAGAGGTGGAGGCCGTTGTGTAAGTTAAAAATGGGAGCCAAGTCAGTCCTAGAGACCTGACTGTATCCTGGGAGGGAGCCTGAGGTTCATCATCCAGGAAAGAAACCAAATCTAATGTTCCTTACTGCCCAAGGTCACACTGCAAGGTGGGGACCAAACAGGGACCAGACTTCAGGTTTACTGTCGCTTTCTCCATGACCCAGTCCACCACCCAGAAGGCTGTGCAGGGTGGGGGCAGGAGTCAGAGGGCCTGACGCGGGGGATGAGGGTGGGCTGGAAATGGTGGGAATATAATTGGGGAAGATGGATGGGCACGCCCAGGCTGCAGCCCCGTTAATTTGCCATCCGGACAGCTAACAAGCAGAAGCAGTGTGTCTCCCGCCGCCTCATTATTTTAGGTAATGGAAATGCTTAATGTTGTGTGAATGCAGCCAGCCTGAGAGCCGACAGCTCCCCCGACTGGGACCAGGGAAGGGAGCCCCATTCCTTACTAATGTCTGGGAGGGAGGGGCACTCCCTGACTCAGTCCCACCTCTGGGACTTCAGAGGCTGTTCCCACAGGCCTGACACCCCTGCCCCTAGACAGGTCCACATCAGGGCCTTCCCCAGCCCAGACCTGGCAGCCCTGCTCCCTGAGCCGCATTCCCCCTGTGCCCGCGCCACTCGGTTTCTACCCTTGGGGGCTTCAAAGTGTATGTTGGAGGGAGGGACACCCCGAGTGTTAGCCATTCATCAGAATGAAGTGTGGTCGCCAAGAGGGAGAGAAGGAGCCGCTACAGGCAGGTTAGCTCTCACACTCTGGAGTCTGCAGGGCTGGGAAGCTACTGTCAGGGACAGCACGTCTGCGGGCACACTTGGTGCAGCCTGGGGTTGAGCTTCAGATACGCTGCTTCCCAGCTGTTTAATATTAGGCAAGTTTCTTAACATCCCTGAGCCTCAGTTGTATCTTCTGTAAAATAGGTATACTATACTAGTATCTCGGAGGATGAGTAGATAGGACTGCGTGAACGAATTCACTTCAGGTACTTAGTCTGTGCCCGGTACATAGAAGGCACAAGTCCAATACACAGGAGCTGTTGGCCGGGCGCGGTGGCTCACGCCTGTAACCCCAACACTTTGGGAGGCCAAGGCAGGAGACTTGCATATGTCCAGGAGTCTGAGGCCAGCCTGGGCAACATAATGAAACCCTGTTCTCTCCAAAAAAAAAAAAAGAGAAAGGAAAAAGAAGGAAGAAAAATTGGCTGGGTATGGTGTCCACGCCTGTAGTCCCAGCTCCTCAGGAGGCTTAGGTGAGAGGATCGCTTGAGCCTGAGATGTCGAGGCTGCAGTGAGCCGTGATTGAATCACTCAGCCTGGGTGACAGAGTAAGACCCTGTCTGAAAAAAACAACAACAACAAAAAAATGAAAATGAGGTAGCTATTGTTATAACTCAGTAACTGGACCCAAGAGCTAGTTTGGGCAGAAAGTAGCCGTTGTATGCCCTGCGACCTCATGTACAGCATCGATCAGAGGTCCCCAGTCCTGGTCCCATGGCCTGTTAGGAACCCTGCCGCACAGTGGAAGGTGAGGGGTGGGCCAGCCAGCTTGACCGGCTGAGCTCCACTCCTGTCAGATCCACTGCGGCATGAGATTCTCGTAGCTCAAACCCTGTCGTGACCTGTGTATATGAGGGATCTAGGCTGCATGATCCTTCTGAGATTCTAATGCCTGATGATCTGAGGTGGGACAGTTTCATCCTGAAACCATCCGCCACTCCCACCCGTGTCTGTGAAAAACTGTCTTCCACAGTGCCAGAAATGTTGGTTATTTGAACACCACTGTCCACATCTGTATTGAGCTTGTAAAGGAGAATCTGTTCCCCAACTTCCAAATGAGGATCTGTAGAACCCCAGGTGGCCTCACCATGGCCGGACTGCTCCTTCACTCTTCCCCAGAAGCTTGGGGTGGGACAGTTCTTAGATTCTGCTTTATGTAAATAGAGTCATCCAGTTCAAACTCCTTATCTCACATATGAGAAAACCAAGGCTCCAAGAGGTGAAATGATTGCTTGTCCCAGTTCACACAGAGTCACAGCACAGCCAGCCGGGAATTCAGTCCTCTGGACTTTTTTTTGAGACAGAGTCTCGCTCTGTCGCCCAGGTTGGAGTGCAGTGGTACGATCTCGGCTCACTGCAGCCTCCGCCTCCCGGGTTCAAGTGATTCTTCTGCCTCAGCCTCCCCAGTAGCTGGGACTACAGATGCGTGCCACCGTGCCCAGCTAAGTTTTTTGTATTTTTAGTAGAGACGGGGTTTCATCTTGCTAGCCAGGATGGTCTCAATCTCCTGACCTTGTGATCCGCCCGCCTCGGCCTCCCAAAGTGCTGGGATTACAGGCGTGAGCCACCATGTCCGGCCAGCCCTGTGGACTTCTAAGCCAGCGAGTGCCTCTTCTGCTGCCCCAAACCACACTTACAGCCTCCTTTCCACCCCTGCAGGTATCTTGGAGATGGCCGCTTCCATCTGGAGTCTGTCATGATTGCCAACCCCAATGTCCCCGCTTACCGGTATGGGCTGGGCCGGGCTGGGCTGGGCTGACCAGCTGGTGTGGGGTGAGACTCCCGCCACCGAGGCCCTCAGTGGGCTGCATCCCCATTTCCTGGCCACTGAGCCACCAGCCCTAAGGGTCTGCGGCACTTGGGCCCTGGATCTGGGCATTAGCTCCAGGGCTGCTGTTGCATACCGGTCTCCTGGGGTTTCCACTGAAATCCTAAAGCCGCCGTCTCTTGTGTCTGCTCAGCTGTGGGACAGGTCTTCCTAACGACAATCCCCGCTCTTGCCTCTGTTCCTAATTACCTGCGTGGGGCCTAAAGGTTCAGGAGCCCACGGGGCTGAGTCAGGAGCTGTGTGCACGGTCGTAGTCCCCACAGTGCTGCACTGTGACCCTGACTGCTGCTTTTCCAGGTATGACCCGTACAGCAAAGTCCTGTCCAGAGAGCACTATGACCACCAGCGCATGAGGACTGCTCGCCAGGAAGCCATAGCCACCGCCCGCTCCGCTAAGTCTTGGGGCCTTATTCTGGGCACTCTGGGCCGCCAGGGCAGTCCTAAGATCCTGGAGGTCAGTGGGCTCAGGACAGCCTCTGGAGGAGGGTAGTGGCTGGGAACACAGCTGGGAAAACCTGTAGGCCACAGGTTCAGCTTTGGCTGCTTGACCAGGTGACCCCCACCCTGTCTCCCTCTCCTAACAGCACCTGGAATCTCGACTCCGAGCCTTGGGCCTTTCCTTCGTGAGGCTGCTGCTCTCTGAGATCTTCCCCAGCAAGCTTAGCCTACTTCCCGAGGTGGATGTGTGAGTTTCCCCACCTTACCTGCTTGGCTATGACCGGCTAAAGAAACTTAGAAGCTGGGTCTTGCCCATCTCATCTTGAAGGCTGGAGCCAACAGGAATTGCTTCCATGGCCATGGAATTTTAATGTTTACAGAGACCTCCCTGGGAGGGCTAACTGGGTCATCCCTGCTTTGGGACTCTGGGGCTCAGAGGCAATGGCACCATCACATTTGTCCTTGTGAGATGCGTCTGAGTGGTGGCTGACACCTGCCCTGTACCAGGTACTAAATTTGGTTCTGGGGATACTATCACCAGTGAGCTGCCCTGGAAAGCTCATTGTCGGCAGAGGAAACCGGAGAAAACACGCAACAACACAGTATTCCAAACAGCAGTGGGTCACTGTCTTTACTTTAGGATTCATAAAGCCTGTTAATGAATGGGTGTGCTGGGGCACTGTCATGGTCTTCAGCATGCTGCGGGCAGAGGAGGCCCTTCCTCGGGTCTGACCTGGCTTCCCTTTCCAGGTGGGTGCAGGTGGCGTGTCCACGCCTCTCCATTGACTGGGGCACAGCCTTCCCCACGCCTCTGCTGACACCCTATGAGGTAACCCCAAGCTCTGGGAGAGAGCGGGCTTTAGACGCGGTTCTCGAAGGCCAGGTCTGCAGTGGAGTGGTGTGGGTGGGCAGCATTTCGCTATGTTCATAGATTCCGGAGTCTGACTGTCTCGATTTCTCCAACGGAGTCACCTCCTAGCTGTGTAGCCTTAGGCAAGGCCCTGAACCTCTCTGAACCACGCATTTCCCTTCTGTGGTGGGGGACAGTGTGCCCTTCACAGGCCGACGTGAGGACTGCAGTCAGTCATCCAGGAGCAGAAAAACACTGGCGAATGTTATTGTCCGCTCCCCTCCCCTAGGCGGCCGTGGCTCTGAGGGACATTTCCTGGCAGCAGCCCTACCCGATGGACTTCTACGCTGGCAGCTCCTTGGGGCCCTGGACGGTGAACCACGGCCTGGACCGGCGTCCCCAGACCCCGGGCCGACCCGCGCGGGGGAAGGTAGGCGGGGCTTCCCGGAAGGAGGAGAGACCGCGCCTGGGCACTGGCCGCCTCCCTGGCGACACGAGCCGAGGCCGCCGCCCTGCGACCGCGACGGGAAATGCACAGGAGCGGAGCGGAGGGAAATGCAGGGTCGCAGAAACGAGACCCTGACCAAAGTCTGCAACCTCAGGTGCAGGAGGGGTCCACGCATCCCCCTTCAGCCGTGGCTTGCGAGGACTGCAGCTGCAGAGACAAGAAGGTGGCGCCGTTTGCTCCTTGACAAGCTCCGGGGCCTCAGGTATCCGCCCTTGCTCTGGCTGCGCCCCGCCCTTTGCCGTTGTCATGGGAACGCCTTGGCGCTCCGAGGCCCGCCTTCGGGGTGTTGCGGACGATTGGCTCCGCCCTTTGCATTCTACTTCCGGTCGGGGAAAGACCGCTTCCGGTGCTTCCGTCGCTCCTTGCCGGTCATAATGGCCGCGCAGCGACCCCTGCGGGTCCTGTGCCTGGCGGGCTTCCGGCAGAGCGAGCGGGGCTTCCGCGAGAAGACCGGGGCGCTGAGGAAGGCGCTGCGGGCCCGCGCCGAGCTCGTGTGCCTCAGCGGCCCGCACCCGGTCCCCGACGCCCCGGGCCCCGAGGGCGCCGGATCAGACTTCGGTGAGACAAGCCCTGCTCCGGAAATACACTCAGTTTTCTCCCTCTTGTTTCGTCCCCTCGACACCCCTCAGCATCCCCCACCCTGCGTCCACCCTCATTCCTCCCACCCGGTCCACACCCTTCGTTTCTCGCGGCCCATACCCTCTTGCTCAAACTGCAGCCTGTCCTCCCAGGCTTCCGCCTTCGTCGTCTTCCTCCGCTGTCTCCTGTTCAGGCCAATCCATTCCCCGCCCCTCATTTCCCCCAGATTTTCGCCTCGATTCCCTCTTTTCCTGTCATCTGGAAATCTCCCGCCCTTTCTCATTTCTTTGCTTCCTGGAGCCTCCCATGCGCTAATCCCATCCTCTTTCCCCATACCGCTGTAGGGTCCTGCCCTCCAGAGGAGCAGCCTCGAGGCTGGTGGTTTTCAGAGCAGGAGGCGGACGTGTTCTCCGCATTGGAAGAGCCCGCCGTATGCAGGGGCCTGGAGGAATCCCTGGGGATGGTGGCGCAGGCACTCAGCAGGCTGGGGCCTTTTGACGGCCTTCTTGGTTTCAGCCAAGGGGCTGCGCTAGCAGCCTTTATATGTGCCCTGGGCCAGGCAGGCGATCCCCGCTTCCCCTTGCCACGGTTTATCATCTTGATATCTGGTTTCTGTCCCCGGGGCCTTGGGTTCAAGGAATCCATCCTGCAAAGGCCCTTGTCATTGCCTTCACTCCATGTTTTCGGGGACACTGACAAAGTCATCCCCTCTCAGGAGAGTATGCAATTGGCCAGCCGATTCCCCGGAGCCATTACCCTCGCCCACTCTGGTGGCCACTTCATTCCAGCAGCTGCAGCCCAGCGTCAGGCCTACCTCAAGTTCTTGGACCAGTTTGCAAAGTGAAAGATCAAGAAATGTCTCTGCTCCTACATCCAGCCCCTCTTGGGGTAGCCTCCGTCATCTGTGCCCTCCCAGGGCCCTCCACTGCTGTGAGTGCGCCTCACCAGGACCAGTTAAGAGACAACTATCAATTCTTGAGACTCAAATTATATGGGACCTGCCTTGTATTGAAGAAAAGGGGAGCACAAGGCCTTAATGGACATTGACTTGTGAAACTCAAACATGAAAATGATTGGAGAGCCCTGGATTAGAAGGGTGACATGGGGAAGACAGGCTGGCACCATGGCGACTGCCACATAATAAAGTGGTGATTTGGATTTTGAGCATCTTTTTCCTGGTACACACACAAAAAATTTTATAATGGAAGTCGGTTTCTTAGCCATCTACATGGTCTTCTGGGCAGCGCCAAGCAGGGAGATGTTTTCAGTTGAGTCCCAGGACAAGCTTCTGCATGGGGGCACATACTCACACGTTATCGGTGGAAGTTTGAAGGCCCAAACTGAAGGGAAGGAGGCTCGGTGGCACAATCAGGGAGGAATATACATCTGAGAAGTTTTGGGAAGACATCACCTGGCAAGGCTGCCCGAACCACAGTAATTTAGTCTTCTCTATCCAGATCCCTGAGAGTTGTGTGCTGGTCTTCTCTCAAAACCTGGCTGTGTTCCCTGCTTCTCCCTAAGTGCTCTAACCTCGCTGAACGGTGAGCTTGAAGGGTGGGTTGATGCCAGACCTTGGGTGGAGGCCAGAGACAGTACAGAACAAACAGCCTCTTCCTAAATTGATCCCATCTTCAGGGTTTCTGAGATTGATGCCATTCTTTAGTGACTACAGCCAAGGCCTAAGCAATCCAGCTGGTTTTCTCTTTGGGGAGTGTAGTTAGTTGTTCTTGGATACTTTGAGGATTGTTTAGTTTCTCTTTCTTTTTTTTTTTTTTTTTGAGACAGGCTCACTCTGTCATCCAGGCTGGGGGGCAGTAGCCAAGATCCTGGCTCACTGCAGTCTCGACCTCCTGGGTTCACGCAATTCTGCCTCAGCCTCCTTAGTAGCTGGCATTACAGGCATGCGCCACCATGCCTGGCTAATTTCTATATTTTTTTGTAGAGAGAGGGTTTTGCCATGTTGCCCAGGCTGGTCTCAAACTCTTTAGCTCAAACAATCCACCTGCCTCAGCCTCCCAAAGTGCTAGAATTATAGGCCTGAGCCACTACACCTAGCTAGGAGTGCCCACTCTTTCTTCTCTTTACTTTTAAAGACAAGGTCTGGGCCAGGTGTGGTGGCTCATGCCTGTAATCCCAGCACTTTGGGAGGCCGAGGTGGGCAGATCACGAGGTCAGGAGATCGAGACCATCCTGGCTAACGTGGTGAAACCCCGTCTCTACTAAAAATACAAAAAATTAGCTGGGCGTGGTGATGGGTACCTGTAGTCCCAGCTACTTCGGGAGGCTGAGGCAGGAGAATCGCTGGAACCCAGGAGGCAGAGCTTGCAGTGAGCTGACATTGTGCCATTGCACTCCAGCCTGGGTGACAGAGAGAGACTCTGTCTCAAAATAAATAAATAAAAGACAAGGTCTGACTCTATCACCCAGGCTGGAGTGCAGTGGCACAGTCTTGATGGCCTCCGCCTCCTGGGCTCAAGCCATCCATCCTCCCACCTCAGCCTCCCAAGTAGCTGGGGCTGCAGGTGCACATCACCATGCCCGGCTAATTTTTGTATTTTTTGTAGAGAAGGGTTTCACCATCTTGTGCGTGATGGTCTCCAACTTGTGAGCTCAAGCAATCCACCTGTCCCGGCCTCCCAAAGTGCTGGAATTAGAGGCGTGAGCCACCTCACCTGGCCAATTGTCCACTCTTAACAATTTACCTCCCATGTCCAGTGCCACCTGACACCCCCCCCCCCCCCCCCCACACACACACACACTGTGTTTTCTGACTTCTGCCTCTGCAAGACAAGAAGCCTGTTCTTTTTCTGGAAGATCACACCAACTCCTGTTTAGCCCTCAGGCATAGTTGCCAGGGAGCTAAGCAACTGAGCGGCAGTTGTGGTCAGGGACACAGTACAAATACTCCAGCCCATTTTTCTGACAACCAGACCGATATCCCTTAGGTTACCGAAAGTTCCAGGTTCCTCACTACAGAGAGTAGCTGTCCAAAATTAAAAACAAAACAAAAAAACAGAAACAGGAATTATCCACCCAGAGACCCAGTTACTGGGTGTGGAAAGTGTGTGTGGGGAGGGGTGGGAGGTGGTTCTCCCTTGCTTCAGTTGGCTTCTGCCTTGCTGTTTTAAGGAATCTTCTCCTTCAGCAAAATGAGGAGACTTTGGAATTGATTACACAGATTGTGGTATCTGACCCATTGAATTTTAGAAAAACTTCTGATTTAAGGTTTCAGAAATTGCACAGAAAAATTCAGATTTCTGGCTTCTCTGGAAATGATAGATTTGCAGTTCAGGGCTCCCATATCCTCATGACAATCATAGGCTGCCCCCTTGAGCACAGTCCCAAGAGGTGAAAATGACTTGCATACCCCAGCTGCTTGGGATTATTGAGGATGAAAGTAGAGAGAGGGAGAGAAATATTGGGGAGTGAATTTTAAGCCAAGGCTTAACATTAGAAGTGGGGTGGGTACAGCCCAGCAGCAGCAGGTGGAGCAGAAGGGCTCCTGGTCAGGGTGAGGATTCCTCCTGAGAACCATAGTGTCCAAGCTAGAGGGAAACGTGGGGTCCACTAGTTCTCAACAAGTGGAACAGGTCACTTCCCATCATGCCGTCCAGGAGCAAGAGAGACTCTTAGGGGGTTGTGCCCTCTCCCCACCCTCCATGCACAGAGTCTGTGTACCATTTACATCCAGATCATTTGTTAAAACCTGAAATCTGGCCCTGCGCGGTGGTTCATGTCTGTAATGCCAGCACTCTGGGAGGCCGAGGCGGGCGGATCACCTGAGGTCGGGGGTTTGAGGCCAGCCAGATCAACAAAGAAAAACTGTCTCTGCTAAAAATACAAAATTAGCTGGGCATGGTGGCACATGCCTGTAATCCCAGCTACTTGGGAGGCTGAGGTGGGAGAATCGCTTGAACCCGGGAGGTGGAGGTTGCAGTGAGCCGAAATTGTGCCACTGCACTCCAGCTTGGGTGGCAGAGTGAGACTCCGTCTCAAAAAAACAAACCAACTCGAATTATGGGGCCAACTCCAGATGTACTGAGTCAGAATCACTGGGACCCAGGAATCTGCATTTTGGCAAATTGCCCCCATCATTCCCAAGCAGGGTATTTGAAAAACCACTGCCTTAGGGGTTGAAGAAAAGTCTCTGCTGAGCGTGTGTTATTTGAAAAAACCCCTAGTGTGACTCTCATGCAACCCACCAGGGAGGGAGCAAGCTCCCCAGAAGAATCACTGGTTAAACATTTGCAATTTATAGCAAAGGAAAATTAGGTCCGAAGGATAGAAATAGGAATAGCATTCATTCATTCATTCATTCATTCAGAGACGGAGTCTCGCTCTGTCACCCAGGCTGGAGTGCAGTGGTACAGTCTCCGCTCTCTGTGACCTCCACCTCCCAAGTTCGAGTGATTCTCCTGCCTCAGCCTCCTGAGTAGCTGGGACTTCAGGTGTGCATCACCACTCCCAGCTAATTTTTGCATTTTTAGTAGAGACAGGGTTTCGCCATGTTGGCCAGGCTGGTCTCGAACCCCTGATCTCAAGTGATCTACTCACCTCAGCCTCCCAAAGTGTTGGGATTACAGGCGTGAGCCACTGCACCCGGCCAGAATAGCATTTATTGAGTACTAACTGTACAGCAGACATTGTAATAAGCAAACGCTTTAATGTTGCCTAATTTAGGGCCAGGTGCAATTGCTCATGCCTGTAATCCCAGCACTTTGGGAGGCTGAGGCATGAGGATCAATTGAGCCCAGGAGTTCAAGACCAGCCTTGGCAACACAGTAAGACTCCCTCTCTATAAATAATTTAAAAGTTAGCTGGGTGTGGTGGCATGCACCTTTGGTCCCAGCTACTCGGGAGGCTCAGGTGGGAGGATCACTTGAGCCCAGGAGTTTGAGGCTGCAGTAAGCTGTGATTGTGCCACTGTATCCCAGCCTGGGAGACAGAGCTAGATAGACCCTGTCTCCAAAAGAAAAAAAAAAAAAAAACTACAAAAATTGGCTGTGGGTGGTGGCACACACCTGTAGTCCTAACTACTCAGGATGCTGAGACAGAATTGCTTGAACCTGGGAGGGGGAGGTTGCAGTGAGCCAAGATCATGCCACTGCACTTCAGCCTGGGCGACAGAGCAAGACTCTCTCAGAAAAAAAATAAATAAAATTATATATATACACACACACACACATATATATATAAAACACATATGTTATATATATTAGGAGATATATATATATAGCTTAAACCTCACAACTTCATGTTTAATCTCACAACTTCACGAGGTAGATACCATTAGTATTGTTATTTGAGACGGAGTGTCAGCCACCCAGGCTGGAGTTCAGTGGTGCGATCTTGGCTCACTGCAACCTCCGCCTCCCAGGTTCAAGTGATTCTAGTGCCTCAGCCTCCTGAGTAGCTGGAATGACTGGCAAGCACCACCATGGCTGGCTAATTTTTTGTGTTTTTAGTAGAGAGAGAGTTTGACTATGTTGGCCAGGCTGCATTATTATTATTAAGACAGGGTCTACCTCTGTCACCAGGTGCAGGATCATGGCTCACTGCAGCCTCAACCTCTTGGGCTCAAGTGACCCTCCCGCCTCAGCCTCCTGAGTAGCTTAGCTGAGACTACAGGGGCCACCTATCACACTGGCTTTTTTTTTTTTTTTTTTTTCAGAGATGGGGTTTCACTATGTTGCCCAGGCTGGTCTCGAACTCCTGGGCTCAGGCAGTCCTCCAGCCTCGGCTCCCCCTGCAAAATGGTGTGATCACAGGCATGAGCCATGTCTCCCAGCCCTAAAGATTTTTTTTTTTTTTTTGAGACAGGGTCTCACTCTGTCATCCAGGCTGGAGTACAGTGGTGCAATCACGGCTCGCTGCAGCCTCAACCTCCCAGCCTCAAGCAATCCTCCCACCTCAACTTCCCAAGTAGCTGGGACTACAGGTGTGCAAAACTAATTTTCTTTTTTTTTCTTCTTTATTTCTTTTTTGTAGAGATAGGTGTTGCATTGTATTGCCCAGGCTTGTCTCGAACTCCTGGGCTCAAGTAATCCTCCCACCTCTGCCTCCCAAAGTGCTGGGATTACAGGCCTGAGCCACCATGCCTGGCCCCTAAATGATTTCTAAGATGCTAAACAACCCTGACATATTGTACGGTCAATCCT